ATTACAAATTAGTCCCTAACTAATCCTGCCATGTAATCTAACTTACAGAATTTTAGACTGAACTATTTGACAGTTCTCTACGGTTTCTAAATCCACGTTATTCTGAGAAGACTATAGTTAATCATTTTTGGCAATTCAACACATTTATAAATCTTAAAGAAAAAGTTACCAAAAACTAGGTTTAATTTATGGTCCAAAGAGTATTAATAAATTATACCTACAGAGAACAGTGTTAGGTTTTACTCAACTTTCTAAAACTGAAATTAAAAATCAACAAGGCCCAGCTTCTTGTATAAGCATAAATGAATAAAGGGTCTAGATACTGATCTGTGTACTTTTACAGAATCACATCATGCATATTAATAACAATCATAAGAGCAGTAGTTATTACTGCTGTTAAATGCCTTCCAAAGTGTTCACAACATTTTCCTTAACTATATCACCAGTAAAATTATATCATCTCCAGTTGAATAACCAAATTTTGAAATGATTTTTTGAAATTAATATCCAAAGACATACCAGAATTCTGATATTATACAGCTAAGAATGGAGTTTAACAGTTGATCTAAGAAAAGTTATATAAAAATAATTAAGAAGTTGTTATGATTCCTTTCATCTGATCATTATTAAATAGGGATAGAAGTAGTTTAAAATCACGGTGCTATTATGCTACAATGACAAAACAGAGTGCACTCTTCAACCGCCCAAACCACTTCCTTCCAACAAGAGGAAAATGAGACCTTTATCATGTTTACCGCTAATGCAAAGCTGCATCTATATGAAATCATAATTAAGATTACTCAATTTCTTAGTTATGACAAAAATGAATCTTTCTTCCAAATCTTTTATTCTTAAAAAATGTAATATAAATTTGAAAAAGCACTTGTCACCAAAGCAATAATATAGCATTTAGCTATATAATCTACAAAGTTTAAGGGTGCTTAGCTAGTTGCTCAAAATGTTTTCATGCACTCCTCAGATTTACTCTAAAATGAGATGAGAAGGTGAATTTCAGAGGATTTATCACCCATGCCTCTGTGAAAAGAGCTGCTGTGCTTTATTTCTTAATGGAGTTTCTTCCCCATTTAAAGTTTTCTATTTTATTCTATAAAACATATATAATCAGAATTATGTAAGCTCCTAGGCTTAAAAATAAAATACTGAAACTTACATGCACTGGTATAGGTCTACATGGACATCAGTTCTGAAGACTTTTGAAAGAATTTATGCAAGAAGTGGCTACTGAGACAACAAAAAGGCCATACTGACTTGCCACTGAGTCACTAGGATACCTGACAAAGAATTACACACTCAGTGTTCAACTTATGGAAAGAAATACAAATGGTTTTTAATAAATCAGTAATCCTTATCCTATAATAACATCATATTTCATAGCCCAGTAAATCACATCAAACTCAAGATAAAACAATTAATGCTTATACACTGAGATGTGAATGTGTCCCAGAAATACATGAGTAATTCTGAAATAGGCAGTATTAGCACAACTATGAACACAGATTTGTAGAACTATAGTTCAGCCAGGAGGCAAAGAAATAGACTAATTTTTCAAGATTCCCTTTTATCCTAATTGAAAAAGGAATAAAGATACATACAATGATTGAGAAAATAATTAGTGCTAAGCATTCCCTTTACATTTATATGATCATCGTAGATAACGATTCAGAAAACAATCAGTCCTAAGCATTCCCTTTACCTGTATATGATCATTGCGGGTAACTATAATTTACCAACTATTATGAATCCCGTTGGCCATTACAACCAACCACAAGTCAACATGACTTTTTCTACCCTTCCTCCTCTACTCTGTCTGCAAAATCTCATTCTGTGAAACTCATCACCACAATGAAATCAGGCTCCCTATAAATCTTCTCAGAATATAATTGTTCAAAGGCATCTGACTATGAGGAATTCTCCATTACTTTACCACATTTGCTTTAGGTTGTAAACCATATGGAGTATATTATACTTATACCACCTAATTTTCAGTAACTTCAGAAGGCAATTCTAAATTTTTAATGCAGCCTGTAATGCACATGTTTTGAACAAGGTTTTCTTAGTAATTCTTGCTTCTGTACTGGTTCAAAGCAGCTAAAATTAGCTTTTACAGATCTTTTTCTAATCTGAATCCCAGTATTTTCCTATCCAAGTTCCTGGGCAACAGGTAGGGTATGCAAGTCTTAGTAAATGACACTCTGCTCATCCGTTATAGCAAAGGGTGTTTATATTAAAGTAGGTGCTCTTCTGTCCTCTGAGAGCTATTGGCTAGACTCATTCTCTAATACGCAACAGTGCCTTAAAAACCTGGGTCATTCAAGATTAGGACATTTCACATCTTTTTTTCCCATATAGAATACTTTTTAAATTTAATAATGTTGACTCTAAGTAGTAAAAACTAATGAGAAGAATATACCTGAAAACACTGCATTGGTTTTCAGATGATAAAAGACAAAAAATACAAATGAACAATGTTGTTCAGAAAAAATTCCAGGAAACAGAAAAAGGATCCTATATCCCTCTACTTTTTCAACACCATATTAAACATAAGACAATGTCAACCTTTGTCTACTATCTTGAAGAAGTCCAATATTCTGTGAATTGTGATCATACATCCTGAAATCAGGTTAAGGAAAAAGTGTTTGAAGAGATGAAAGTCCAGATTCCACTAGGAATTCTCCCTTCTCCCAACAAGAGATAAGACTCGGAAAGTTTGCAACAAAAATAAATAAACAAACTTTGTATCCTTGCAGCTAATGGTACAGATGTTGCTTTGAGTTGGTTTCATTGTTATTATTATGGTCAGCAAGAAAATAAATTACATGCTTTTTTTTTTTTTTTTGAAGAGATGAGGTGCAGTGGCAATTCACTGACATGATCCCACAAACTGACCAGCATGGGGGTTTTGACTTGCTGTTTCTGACCTGGTCTGGTTCACCTCTCTGGCAATCTGGCATCCTGAGAGGTCACCATATTCATGCCAAATTTAGTATGGACATCCAACCAGCATAGCACAGTATGACCCACAACTCCTGGGCTAAAGGGATCTCTCTGCCTAATCTTGACCTCTCCACCTCAGCCTCCCAAGTAGCTGAGACTACTGGCACACACCTGTACATTCTATTACCAATAATGCTAAATGTTAAAAAGAAAAAAAAAAAAAAATTAAAAACATAAACAGGGTAGAAAATTATAGCAAAGCAGAAACTCAATCTAAAATCTTAATTTTCAATCTTTATATAAGGCAGTAAAGTCTCTTAATGAGAGAGAAATAGTAATTTCAAAAGCCAAACGTCAGGACACAGGAATAACAGGAGAGCATTGTCCTAAAACAAATGCATGATTTTAGAAACCTAGAGTAAGAAGGGAAATAGCCAGGCATGGTGGCTCACACCTGTAATCCCAGCATTTTGGGAGGCTGAGGCAGGCAGATCACTTGAGACCAGGAATTCAAGATCAGCCTGGCCACCACGGCAAAACCCCATCTCTACTAAAAATACAAAAAGTTGCTCGGTGTGGTGGCGCACACCTGTAATCCCAGCTACTTGGAAGGCACAAGAATCATTTAAACCTGGGAGGCAGAGGTTGCAGTAAGCTGAGATGGTGCCACTGCACTCCAGCCTGGGTGACAGAGTGAGACTCTGTCTCAAAAACAAAGAAAAAGAAAGAAAGAGGCCAGGCACGGTGCCTGACGCCTGTAATCCCAGCACTTTGGGAGGCCAAGGCAGGTGAATCACGAGGTCAGGAGATTGAGACCATCCTGGCTAACACGATGAAACCCCAGCTCTACTAAAAATACAAAAAATTAGCGGGGCGTGGTGGCACATGCCTGTAGTCCCAGCCACTCGGGAGTCTGAAGCGAGAGAATGCCGTGAACCCGGGAGGTGGAGCCTGCAGTGAGCCGAGATCGCACCACTGCACTCCAGCCTGGGTGACAGAGCGAGACACCATCTCAAAAAATAAATAAATAAATTAATTAATTAATTAAAAAATTTAAAAAAGAAAGAAAGAAAACAACTGTTACTTGGACCACACACAATGCAAGTAGAAAAATAGGATAACCTGACTCATACTATTTAACCAGTGTCATTGCTCACTTTCCTCACTATCTAATCCTCAAAATCGAGGCTTAATGGCAAAATATAAAATAAAATATGAAGTTTTATTTGCTAAAACTGAGAACAGAATGAACATTATAAATGTTAAAATTAAATGTGAATATACGACATTAAAAAATTTAGTATATTCGGTTATTAAAACCTACGAATTGGAAATAAAATCAAAATGCAAATTACAAATATTTTGAGCACATATAAAAGCACTATTTTCCTGTTTTTGTTGTTGTTGTTGTTTGAGACAGGCTCTCACTCTGTCACCCAGGCTGGAGTATAGTGGCACAGTCTTGGCTTATTGCAACCGCTGACTCCTGCACTCAAGCAATTCTCCCACTTCAGCCTCTGGAATAGCTGAGACTACTGGTGCATGCCACCATACCCAGCTAAATTTTTTTGTATTTTTAGTAGAGATGGGGTTTCGCCATGTTGCCCAGGCTGAACTCCTGAGCTCAAGCGATCCACCCATCTCAGCCTTCCAAAGTGCTGGGATTACAGCTGTGAGCCACGGCTCCCAGCCCAAAAGCACTATTTTCTATTTCTTCTAACCATACAGAATATATTTATCAGAAGTCCATATGGGCCAGGTGCAGTGGTTCACGCATGTAATCCCAGCTACTCGGGAGGCTGAGGTCGGAGGATCACTTGAGCACAGGAGTTTAAGGCCACGGTGACCTAGGATACCACCATTGCACTCCAGCCTGGGCAACAAAGTGAGACCCTGTCTCAAAAAATAAAAAGTCCATATGATGCAGAAAATAAGGTTTTGCTATTATGCTTCATGTTCCCAAACATGCACAGTGAAAAACTTTTCATGAGTTCAATTTTAAAAAACAAACACATGCAGCTTAAAGTCCTCAGGGCTGAACTTACCGTCTTGTGACCGTTCTGGCAGGCAACATGCAGTGCTGTCTGCCCCATGGCATCCTCAACATCAACATCACTGACATGCTGCACAAGGTCATGGAGTAGTTCTGTCCGCCCATTCACAGCCAGCCAGTGTATCTGTGAAGCCATTTAGTTACTTAACGTTTGTGTAGTAGTGTTTTATATAAAAACAGCAGATAAATAATGTTATTTCTTAGCTGAACATGACTTGCTCATGCAAATCTAAAGGCATTTTAAGTCCATGTAATGGTTTAAAACTAAAGGTATTTTAAGTCCATGTAATTTTTTTCCTTTTTTTAATTTGTTTAAGTTTTATCTAAGGGTTTGGGGTTCTTTTTAGAGTTGGGGTCTTGCTATGTTGTTCAAGTTGGACTCAAACTCCTGAGCTCAAGTGATCCTCCTGCCTCAGTCTCCTAAATAGCTGAAACTAGGTTTTATATGAGGAAAATTTCTGTATCAAGATGCAGATTACATTACCACAGATTTCAAAATGAAGAACTCAATGCGGGTGGAAGTGGTGCCTCATGTTTGTAATCTCAGCACTTTGGGAAGTTGAGGCAGGAGGATTGCTTGAATAAAATGAGTTCAAGATCAGCCTGGGCAATGTAGCAAGAACCTGCTTCTATAAAAAATTTAAAAATTAGCTGGGCAGCCGGGCGCGGTAGCTCACGCCTGTAATCCCGGCACTTTGGGAGGCCGAGGCAGGCGGATCACGAGGTCAGGAAATCAAGACCATCTTGGCCAACACGGTGAAACCTTGTCTCTACTAAAATATAAAAAATTAGCTGGGCATGTTGGCGTATGCCTGTAATCCCAGCTATTTGGGAGGTTGAGGCAAGGGAATCGCTTGAACCCAGGAGGCGGCGGTTGCGGTGAGCTGAGATTGTGCCACTGCACTCCAGCCTGGCAACAGAGCAAGACTCCGTCCCAAAAAAAAAAAAAAAAAAATTAGCTGGGCATGGTGGCATACACCTATGGTCCTAGCTTCTCAGGATGCTAAGGTAGGAGGATCCCTTGAGCCCAGGAGTTTGAGGCTACAATGAGCTATGATTGTGCCACTGCACTCCTACCTAGGTGACAGAGTGAGAACCTATCTCAAAAAAAAAAAAAAATTGTTTTAAAATAACTCACAACGGTTCAAAATAGTAAGTATACTAAGCTTCCGATCATCAAATACTCTGCTTCTCAGATAATCCTGGACTCTATGCATAGCTTGTCTCTGGAGAAAAGGTGTTAGATATTTTTCCTTTCCCAGAAGCAAACGTTAAGTTAAAAAGTAATTAACATTGCAATGCTATCTCCCTTAATTCCTATATTTTACAAGTAACACATGTATCTTGCATAAATAAAAAAAGGAGGATAAAAATATATATAAAACACCTATGAGTCTACCACTCAAAGATAATCAATGTTAAAACTTTGGACTATGCTATCCATTAATTTTTCACATGATTTTTTTTTTTTCATTAAAAAGAAAATCATGAAATCCCTGTTTTAAAATGGCAGGTTTAATCCATGCATCAGCCTCTACTTCTTCCCTAAACCCCACAGAAATGACAGTAAAGAGTATTTCCTTAAAGACTAGATCCATAAAGATACAGAGGAGAGAACAGCAAGTTTCGGAAGCAAAGAAAATAGATGATGCTTTTTATCTTGTCAGATTATACTTGTTGACTTGTCAGAATGTTACACCAGTATTAGAGAAACCCCCCCAAGAAAATGTGATTCAGATTACAGGACTCCCAAAAGGCTCAAGAATCAATAGTAAGCACCATGCACCTTTTGAAAAGAGGTTGAAAGTTTATCTAACAAGATTTAGAGCCTCATATCTCTAACCCTCCCCAACTGTACAAGGCCAGTAATGGCCGCTCCTCAATCAGACAGAATGCAAGAGGCTTGAAAACAGTCTCTAGGTAAGAGACACCAGGCACATTGAACCACGAATACCACATTAAGAAGGGGAGATTAAGTGCAAGTTTAAATACTGAACATTGATTTTACAAAGCATTCTTCTCTATCCGGCACACAGACTGTTAACATCTTCAGGGCAGTTGGAAGAGTCTTCTCTGAGGAGTATGACCAGCTCAAGAGTAAATGCCTAAAGAGATTGACACCAGAAAGGTCCAAGAGGCAAATGTCCAAGGACATCATCCTACACTGAAGGCCCTAGTGAACAAACCTCATTCATGCTGACAGTCTTCAAATAGCTTTTTCCATTTCCACCAAACATTTGATAAACGCATCTAATTCGAAAGACAAAATACAAAAATTTTTTAAAGCAAAAAGTAGGGGGAAAAAGGAACCATGAATATTCAAGAAAAAAACTACATTTAATACTGTCAGAGAGAGAACATACTGATTGCGTCCTTGAAATGAGAAAAGGATACTATTTTTTGAAAGAAACAAGGGAAAAAAAAAACTCTTGGAAATTAATACTATGATAGAGACGTGCAAACTCAAAAGAAGATTTAGAAGAAAATATTGAGGAAGTCTCCCTAAAAGTAAAAAGATAAAAGAAATGAAGAAATGAGAAAAAGTAGGAAAATTAAAGGGCTAGTGTGAATAGGTCTAACTAAATAACAGGAGTTGGGGAAAAAATAAAACTGAGAAAAGACAGAAAAAGAAATCATGAAAGTAACAATTTACGAATATTTCTCATAAGTTCCCATTACATGAGTTTCCAGGTTGACAGGGTCTCAATATTATCCAGCTAAATGGATAAAATAAAGCCAAACCAAGATATAATAATCACAGGATTTTAGAACACCATGGACAAAGTAGATTCTGTAAGTTTCTAGAGAGAAAAATCAAAACAGATGTCATATAAACAATCAAGAATCAAAATAGTACTAAACTTCAAAACAAAGTAAGACGACAACAAAGCAATGCTTTCAAAATTCTAAGGAAAAATGATGTCTCATCTAGATTGTCAGCTAAACTGTCAATCACATAATCAGACTCAAAGACTCGAGTCATATCAAACATGCAAGGTGGCTACACATCTCCCGGGCACACTTTTTCTCAGGAAACTGTCAGGGTTGTGCTCTATCAGAATGACAGAATAGTTACCAGAAAAGATGGATATGAGACCCATATAACAGAGAACCCAAAGCAAGAAAAAAGCAAAGGGAATCCCCAGGATGATGATGAGACATTCCAAACAACTGTGCAGCAGACCTAGGTATCAACCAACTCAGCCAAGAGAGCACAGAAGTCTCCTTAAGAGACTCCTTCAAGACATAATCAAGGACATGAAAGGTACTGCATACTATTAAGAGGATATTTATAAAGCTGAGAGAGACTTTGGTAATGAATTAGTAATAAGTTATAAGAAAACGTTAATAAAGCAGTAGGGCACAAAACAGATAACAAAGACATACAAACTGGAAAAGAAAGAAATAAAGGCCTGGCGCGGCGGCTCATGCTTGTAATCCCAGCACTTTGGGAGGCCGAGGCAGGTGAATCACCTGAGGTCTGGAGATCAAGACCAGCCTGGCCAACATGGTGTAACCCCGTCTCTATTAAAAATACAAAAATCAGCCAGGCGCGGTGGCTCAAGCCTGTAATCCCAGCACTTTGGGAGGCCGAGACAGGTGGATCACAAGGTCAGGAGATCGAGACCATCCTGGCTAAAAACGGCAAAACCCCGTCTCTACTAAAAAATACAAAAAACTAGCCGGGCGCGGTGGCGGGCACCTGTAATCCCAGCTACTCGGAGGCTGAGGCAGGAGAATGGCGTGAACCCGGGAGGCGGAGCTTGCAGTGAGCTGAGATCCGGCCACTGCACTCCAGCCTGGGCAACAGAGCGAGACTCCGTCTCAAAAAATAAAAATAAAAAAATAAAAATACAAAAATCAGCTGGGCGTGGTGGCGCACACCTGTAATCCTAGCCACTCGGGTAGCTAAGGCAGGAGAATTGCTTGAATCCAGGAGGCGGAGGTTGCAGTGAGCCAAGATCGTGCTACTGGACTATAGCCTGCGTGACAGAATGAGACTCTGTCTAAATAAATAAACAAACAAAAAACTGTCTCTACATGCCGACAACATGACTGTCTATGTAGAAAATCCCAAGCAATTTGCCCAAAATCCCCTAGAACTAATAAGCGAGTTCAGCAAGATTGCAAGACACATAATTAACACACAAAAACCAATTGCATTTCCATCTGAACATGCATAAACTCAAATTAAAAACACAATGCCATTTACAATTATGCCAAAGAAAATGAAATAGTTATATGCTTACCAAAACATGCACAAAATCCCCAGACTGTGCTGTACAAAATTCTAATGAAAAAAATCAAAGACCTAAGTAAGTGTGGAGACATACTGTGTTTATGGATTAAAAGACTCAATCAACATAGTAAAGATAACAATTCTCCTCAAATTGATCTATCAGTTTAAAGCAACTCCAATCAAAATTCCAGCAAGGTTTTTTTGTTGACATAGACGAGTTTATTGTAAAATTTATATGGAAAGGCAAAGGGATCAGAATGGCTAACACAATCCTGACAAAGAAAAATAAAGTGAGAGGAATTATTCTACCTGTTATTAAGACTTACAGCTACAGGCTGGGAGCGGTGGCTCAAGCCTGTAATCCCAGCACTTTGGGAGGCCGAGGCAGGTGGATCACGAAGTCAGGAGATTGAGACCATCCTGGCTAACGTGGTGAAACCCCGTCTCTACTAAAAATACAAAAAATTAGCTGGGCAAGGTGACGGGCGCCTGTAGTCCCAGCTACTCAGAAGGCTGAGGCAGGAGAATGGCGTGAACCCTGGAGGCAGAGCTTGCAGTGAGCCAATATCGCGCCACTGCACTCCAGCCTGGGCAAAAGAGCGAGACTCCATCTCAAAAAAAAAAAAGGAAAGACTTACAGCTACAGTAATCAAGACAGTGTGGTATTAGCAGACAGATTAGTAGAGACACACAGATCAGTGGAACAAATAGAAAGTCCACAAGTGGATCCACACAAATATGCCCAACTGATTTTTGAGACAGATGCAAAACCACATTCATGCAGAAAGGACAGCCTTTTCAACAAACAGTGCTAGTACTGGACATTCACAGGCGAAAAAAAAAAAAAGAAGCCTTGACCTAAGCCTCATATCTTATGCAAACAG